GACAAAAAGAAATTACGGCATGTGCGGTATCGCGATTTTTCACGTTTGCACCGACAAATCGCGATTTTTCAGATCCTGGCCTCACGACAAATCTGCGTCAAATTGCGCATTTTCCTTTAAATCTGAGGACCAAATGGCAAAGTTCGCGTATTTTCCTTCAAATCTGTGGGCTAAATATCACGTTTTCTATAATTAGTATATGAAAGAAGATATCTATAAGATTCTTGACTGGTCACGTAGCAACAACATGAAGCTTCACGAGAAGAAGTTCGAGCTGTTAAATCACCTCCATAACAGTAAGAGCTCATTCCCCGAACTACCCTTCTTTGCCGAAACACTGCGTTAAAAAGTATCCAAGGACATATATACTTTACCCTGTCGAAAATGTCCGATATCTTGGAGTTATGGTTTCAAGTGATCTTAGCTGGTCGATACACATCGGTACCCAAAGCAAGGAGCACGCTATCTTGGGTATTCACAATTCAGTGTGTTCAAAATCCGTGACAAGACCGTAATGACTACTCTCTACAAGTCACTAGTAAGAAGCTTACTAGAGTATTGCTGCCCACTCTGGAGCCCTACCAAGGTGACTGAAATACAGCTGATAGAGGGGGTGCAAAGAACTTTCACAAGTCGTATTGGCGGTCTTCAACATCTCAGCTATTCGGAAAGACTCGTACAGCTTAAATTGATGTCTCTACAGCGCAGACGGGAGAGGTATATCATCCTGATGATGTGGAAGATTCTCCATAATGTGGTACCAAACTGCTGTGATGTCAAGTTCAAACTTCAAGGTGACCCCAAGACACGGTGATGTAGATTGTAGCTGTCATACCCTCATTGTCAAAGTCAAGTTCCTTACGCAACCAGTCACTGTACGACAGGTCTTTTGCAGTCCAAGGACCGAAGCTGTGGAACAAATTAGTGCCTCACACAGCTACACAGTAATTGTAAAGGCTGTTTCATCATCTATTATATTTGAAAACATGCATTGCACTGTCGTATGAAAGTAAACAAACAAAGCGCAATTTGAGTGCTCCCTCCCCTAATATCTCCCCTAATAAGCTTATAATATTACATGACAGTATGTATTACGGCTAACTTAATTATGATATATGTACCAACGCTACATAATATGCTGTATTAATGGGAGAGAGCGAAAAGGGAAAAAACTGTGAGCCATTTTACATTACATTTGTGGTACAAAACCATAAATTAAAGCACTTACCACCAGCCGATTTAAAAACCTAAATCATTTGGCTTCCTCGTAGTTTTGTCGGCACTATACCGAAAAAATCAGTCCCGTAACTCGATCGTACCGTTTTCTTGATTAATATAAGAGATTAAGAGAGACATTTTTGTGTGTAATCAGTGTAGCTTGTGTTGCAAATATCGAGCTCTCTTATCTTTTGTAAATTTGCAATAAGTTCAGTTTGCTGCTACCGCGTAGTTTACCTTTGCGTGTGTACTTGTACATTACTATACAAGTACACTATGGGGGATGACCCAACTTTGACCCGATCCCAGGAGTTGATTAAGGAGTTCAACTATGATCAACAGGAAGATGTAGAAGGCTGTGTTGCACGCTGGTCCATTCAGTTAGAAAAAGACCTGCATATGGACTACCGTGAAATTGACTACGATAGTCGTGAAAATATCAAGACTAAGGATAAACAGACTCTGTCTGGCTGGATTGTGGATGCAGTGGACCTTGTTCCGTGTTCGTCGGCAGAGTAGTCAGATGTATCTCTTGAAGGAGATCATCGAGTGCTTCAAGACGGAAGCACTAGCAGACAAAGAAAAGGTGATCAGACTGCAGGGCCAGCTGCTGATGCAGAAGGACGAACAACTACAGTTGCTTAAGACGTCTGTTGAGGAGACAGTCCAAACAACGGTGGAGTCAGGGATTCAGAACTATAGTGCAGCTGTTCAACAGAACAGTGCAAGTGGTATAGGTACGGTCTGCAATAGCAAAATCCTGAAGAAGGTGATGAAGAGTGTGGCTGCAGAGGAGGACAGGACCAAGAACCTGATCGTGTTTGGGCTGAAAGAAGAGGAGGAACAACAGCTTCCAGCGCTAGTTACCGCATTTTTGGAGGAGATCGGGGAGAAACCTCACTTCGAAGCGACTAGAGTCGGTTGGAAGAGGCCAGGTAGTACGGCTATCCGACCAGTCAAGATCACCGTCCCAAGCTCAACAGCGGTTCATCAGATTCTGATGAAAACAGGGAGACTGAGGGAGACGCACAAAGATGTATGGATATGTCCAGACAGATCCAGCGAAGAACGAGCAACAAGGAAGCATCTGGTCACTGACCTGAAGAAGAAGAGGGCGGAACAGACTCATCTCGACCACTACATCCGGTACGGGAAGGTATGTAGCCGTGATAAGAAGTCATCATGAGTTACACTCTCGGACACTGATCAGTATTATGAAGGAGTGATGATTATTTTAAGAATTTTCAGACGTTATCTGTATTTAAGAGACAACTATATATTTTGAATATTTTATTATTTGATTGTTTCACACTTTTCATATTTCATAATTTTATTACTAGGTGGAGGTGATGTTATTGAGACTTTGGGCGGCCATAAAACTCCTGTTTTGAAAGTTGTCCTCTGTACTTGTTTCACTGACCCACGCTTTATAGCATTGCCATTTATACATTTCGGCCCATTTTATATGTTTGTTCGACTTGCTGTACATTTGTATATTTGCTATTTTGTAAAAGTTTCAAATCAAATCAAATCAAGCCGCTCGGAAATTACACGCGCAGTGCGCAGAGACAGACAGACAGACAGCTATAGACACACACATTCTGATATTATTGTTTAAGACTAGTGTAACCCGTGCCTACGGCCGGGACTTCACTATCGCAGTTGAAATGCAAAAGTATAATTATAAACCCGCCTATTATATTTGAAAACACGTATAACATTGTCGTATGACAGTATGAACTCTCTCTAGAAGTCTAGATTCCAAACAGACCGCAATGAGTACCCCTCCTCTAATAAGCTTATATCTTTATATATGCAGCTATAACATATTATACATTAATGAGAGAGAGAGAGAGAGCAAGCCCCGTAACCAGTAACTCTTGCCGTTCTGCTCAAGCAATTTTATGTAACATTTGTGGTACAAAACCATCAATTAAACCACTTACCACCGCCGATTTAAAAAAAATTTGCTTATGGGCTTCATCAGAGTTTTGTCGGCACTATACCGAAAAAACCAGTCCCGTAACTCTTACCGTTTTTTTTGTATAACCGTTTGGAAATTACACACAGACGATCACACAGACGATCAGACACACACACATTCTGGTGTTATTAAGTTGATATGATAGTACTAGAAAACCCGTGATCACAGGGAAGGATTGAGGAAGCTAATATAATACTCTAATAGTAATTTTTGTTAATAAGTTAGTTAAATCGCGTCAAAACAAGAAATGCGGCCGCTTTTCTTTTGTGGATGGCCGCTCAATTTCCCGATCCGTGATGGCGTATTTATCATATTCCATACAACCTGGGGACGGCCCAGTCTTTACTGTTTATATAAACATGCAAATATGGCGAAGTGACATGCCGACTGCCGAGCGCCGCCCAGTTAATATAATTCTATATTGAATTTGAAAATCGTGTATACTTCTATGTAACCATATGTTTATTGTTTATGCAACCTGACACGGATCTGTGCAAAATAGTAATACTAACTCAAAATAATAATAATATGCTATCAATTAGTGCCTAGTGGGATACGTACATGATGAAATTAATAATGTACTTGGTTGGTTCAGCGCCGCGCGCCAACAATTATATAATTCAGATTATCACGCAAAATAACTTTGCGCAGGTAGTCACGTGGGCGATAACAGTGCTCGCAGGCACGTACGCACGCACGCACGCACGCACGCTCGGTCGCAAAGCTACCATATAAAAAAAAACCTCGATCGCTAACCCTTGTCCTTGACTCTTTAATTTTATGCCTTCGGCACGAGTCATGGATCGGGAAAAAATATCTTGCATAACCGAAGATACAGCCAATTAAAATTTTGTTCTACTAAACAAAGCGTAATATCAACAAAACCGATCAAAATGACGTTAAAACGATCACTGCAAGTGCGTGTAATAACCCTCGTTACCATGGTTACTTTGCAAACTTTTGCTTTTTACCTAATTTGCACGTAGGGCGGTCGTACAGTGTACAATGTACAGAGATAATTCTCTGAATTATAATATAGACTAGAAATCCCATGGTCACAGGGAGGAACCTAATAGTATTCTTTGGCAGTCAGTTTTAATCGTTTCAAAAAGTATTCATCCCCACCGAAGATACAGCCGATAAAAATGTTGCTCGCACTAATTACACAACGTAATATCAACAAAACCGATAAAAATTGCCGTCCACTAATCTTTGCACGTGCACGTGCGTGTAAGTAAGATAACATGAGAGTGGATATCGAGGCTAACCTAATTATGATTAATGTACCAACGCTGCCTATGCAGTACTTGGACAGAGAGTGAGGAGGGAGAAAAAGTGATACATTTTGTGTCACATTTGTGGTACAAAACCATCAATTAAACCCCTCACCACCGACTGATTTAAAAAACCTTTATCATTTGGCTTTGTCAGAGTTTTCTCGACACAATACCGAAAAATTCAGTCCCGTAAGTCTTACTGTTTTCTCGATTAACCCGCTCGGAAATTACACACGCACAGACAGACACACAGACAGACACACATTCTGAGATCATCATTAAAAATTGTTTGAATTATACTTTTTATTTGTTCAAGACGTCTTGATGACACTTGAAATGGTGGCCTTGATTTTGCGTCTCATTAACTAATATGTTCCTTGGCTTAGTTTTTGGTTAATTCTTGATTTATCTGATTGCTGATATTGCAAATTCTTTTCTACGATTCACTTTTATCTTCTTATGATACAATTTTAACCAGAATTATTTTAATTTTTTCTGAAATTGACATGACTCAATATTGTAGATTTTGGCAAAGAAGTTGAGATGATCTATCCAATAGCAGTAATTCTTATTGTCGCATCACTCGACACGGTGAAATCAGGTAACAAATTTTACTCAGTATCTAAGGCCCTGAGTCCTTAACTTGAGTTTCTTAGTCTCTGGATTAAAACAGATTCAAACAATTGTATAATTGTGTACTCGCACGTACTTTTGCCTTTTAAAGAGTTCTGCCGGTGAGCAGTCTGTACCATGAGTCCCTACCTAAATCAACTAAACAGATTAATTTTTACAGAGATACAATGGAAAACAGTCAAGCTAAATGAGGATGGGACACAAAAGCAAACAGGAATTCCCCACAGCTTTGAGAGGACAGCAATACAGTTCAAAACTGACAATACGGTAGAAGACTTGTTTGAGCGACTCGACGTGGATTTCATTGCGGCCGGAAAGGAAAGGCAAGGGGGGTTAACCGTGATCTTCAATTCACGCTATACACCTGAAAAACCAGATGATTACAATATAAAACATTGCACGAATAATGGTAGAATCTTATTTCCCGAGAACATGCCCACTGAAGCTGAGAAATTGTGGAGTATTCTTGCGACCACAGGAGCAAATCCGTCTTTTAAAGTCCAGGTCAACGGAGTGGAAGTGATCAACTTACTCCTCACAGACGATACATGTGATTACCCAAACTGGAGAAATTACTGGACAAAAGAGATTGAAACACTGAGATTTAACTCTCATCAACTATCATTTCTCGGTTACCATCTAGGTAGATATTGTAAATTAGGTATTATAGGTACTTATAAAGGTGTGGGGTAGGTGTGACCGAGTGGGGTGGGGTGGGGTTGGAGGAGTGGGGTTGGGTGGGGTGGAGGGGTGGTGGAGGGGTGGGGTGGGAGTGAAGGTTAAGAACTACCAGTAATATAGGGTCTCCTTTTTATAACAATATCCCGATTTATTGTAACTAACAGGAACCCGTCTTACTCTAAAGTGGTGTCAAGACTCAAGAGACTAAAACAATTATTACCTATTTAATTCACGTTTTTGACACCACATGGGAGTCCAAATTTTTGGCACTAAAATTTTTATTTCTTGGCTAATTTTTTACTTTCTTGTGCAGTCATGCTGATTTGAAAAGCATAAAAGCATTTGACTCAGTCAAAAAACTAAAAAGTTTCAGTTGTGTAATTTAACGGTTTTTGCGGAAAGTCGCGTTAAAGTTGATGCCGTGGTGACAGTAAAATGGCAGTGGCACGGATAAACACATATACCTATATATATATATATATATTTATATCTACATATATCTATATCTATATCTATGTATATATAGTAAGATTGTGCAATTTTTCTGACCAGCAAGCCTGAATTTTCAAGGAAATAAGGCAAATAAAAATGTTGGCTTATGAGGACCTTTCTCTTTAAGGCCTTTGATCCGTAGAACAGAACCAAACTGCTTGGTTGGCCAAACTAGGACCAGACAAATTATAGGACTGATTAAGTGTCAGCCGTGTCAGTTTTTATTTATTTTATTGGCTTTATGCCAGTGTTGCTTGGAAATTCTGGAACAATGACAAGGCTTCTTGCAGCGGAACATTTTTGCGATATAATAGAATTTGGTTTACTGCAATTTTACCACATTCCTATATAATTCTATAAGAGTGTGATGCTAAATTCAATAATTATTCAATCCGGCCCTGGAGGCTGGAGGGTATAGGAATTTGTAAACCCGTCTTACTCTAAAGTGGTGTCAAGACTCTAGAGACTAAAACAATTATTACCTATTTAATTCACGTTTTTGACACCACGTGGGGGTCCAAATTTTTGGCACTAAAATTTTTATTTCTTGGCTAATTTTTTACTTTCTCATGCAGTCATGCTGATTTGAAAAGCATAAAAGCATTTGACTCAGTCAAAAAACTAAAAAGTTTCAGTTGTATAATTTAACGGTTTTTGCGGAAAGTCGCGTTAAAGTTGATGCCGTGGTGACAGTAAAATGGCAGTGGCACGGATAAACACATATACCTATATATATATGTGTATATATATATATATTTATATCTACATATATCTATATCTATATCTATGTATATATAGTAAGATTGTGCAATTTTTCTGACCAGCAAGCCTGAATTGTCAAGGAAATAAGGCAAATAAAAATGTTGGCTTATGAGGACCTTTCTCTTTAAGGCCTTTGATCCGTAGAACAGAACCAAACTGCTTGGTTGGCCAAACTAGGACCAGACAAATTATAGGACTGATTAAGTGTCAGCCGTGTCAGTTTTTATTTATTTTATTGGCTTTATGCCAGTGTTGCTTGGAAATTCTGGAACAATGACAAGGCTTCTTGCAGCGGAACATTTTTGCGATATAATAGAATTTGGTTTACTGCAATTTTACCACATTCCTATATAATTCTATAAGAGTGTGATGCTAAATTCAATAATTATTCAATCCGGCCCTGGAGGCTGGAGGGTATAGGAATTTGTAAACCCGTCTTACTCTAAAGTGGTGTCAAGACTCTAGAGACTAAAACAATTATTACCTATTTAATTCACGTTTTTGACACCACGTGGGGGTCCAAATTTTTGGCACTAAAATTTTTATTTCTTGGCTAATTTTTTACTTTCTCATGCAGTCATGCTGATTTGAAAAGCATAAAAGCATTTGACTCAGTCAAAAAACTAAAAAGTTTCAGTTGTGTAATTTAACGGTTTTTGCGGAAAGTCGCGTTAAAGTTGATGCCGTGGTGACAGTAAAATGGCAGTGGCACGGATAAACACATATACCTATATATATATATGTGTATATTTATATCTACATATATCTATATCTATATCTATGTATATATAGTAAGATTGTGCAATTTTTCTGACCAGCAAGCCTGAATTGTCAAGGAAATAAGGCAAATAAAAATGTTGTTTTATGAGGACCTTTCTCTTTAAGGCCTTTGATCCGTAGAACAGAACAAAACTGCTTGGTTGGCCAAACTAGGACCAGACGAATTATAGGACTGATTAAGTGTCAGCCGTGTCAGTTTTTATTTATTTTATTGGCTTTATGCCAGTGTTGCTTGGAAATTCTGGAACAATGACAAGGCTTCTTTTAGCGGAACATTTTTGCGATATAATAGAATTTGGTTTACTGCAATTTTATCACATTCCTATATAATTCTATAAGAGTGTGATGCTAAATTCAATAATGATTCAATCCGGCCCTGGAGGCTGGAGGGCATAGGAATTTGTAAAGTCATCTACCAAACTGTTTGATTTACTCTCATCCCACTGCATGTGCAAGTAACAGTCACTGGCAGTGAAGTCGAGCTATGAAATAAGAATATTACAAATCAAGTCATTTCTAATCATGAACGGGATTAAATACTATACATCAACATGTATACTATGATTGTATAATAGATCATGGCTATCATATCAAGTACAGGGTATGGGTATCCATAGTAAAATAGAACATACCATATGCTATAACGAAGGTTTTTGTTTTCAATCGAGTTTGGGTTGGTTCGGTTTTAGAATTACCCGATTATCGTTTCATATTACTTTGCTGCATATATTTTTATGCTTTAACATATTATGTTAAACCATTACAAATTCCAAATTTTCAGATTCATGCTATTGGGGCCATTACTTGGATGCTGATGCTGATTGCCAAGAGTGTCCTGCAGATCATTGGAGTGCAGACGCCGGCGATACTGCCTGCACACCTTGTCCAGAAGGAACTCACGTGGGCGCAGGATTGGGATTAGCTGAGAGTGACTGCACAGAGAGTAAGTTCATTTTAGTTATTTGGGTTTCATTCCCTTGTTGTTGTGTTATACAATGAAGCAAATGACAAATGAAATGTTCGTCTGTCGAAAGTTGTGCATCACACTGTCAGCTGCGATCTAAGCCGCTTAATTTAGCTAATCCTCTGCTACATGCATGACCTTGTAGTTATAGTTATATAGCTCAGATGTTTTTAAACATTTTAACCCCAATATTAGCTGTTATTGCCTGCGTTATATTTTACTGAATTTAGTAAATTATTTACTTACAGGCGGAGACGAGACAGACGGAGACGAGACAGACGGAGACGAGACAGACAGAGACGAGACAAAGTCTGAACACAAATACTCTCAATCAGTTGCCCACAAATTGAGCGCTCTTCTTGTCGTTCTCTTGTTTGCTTTGAACATGACCATCTAGACTTGTTGCGGCCTGCATGGATGGTTGAACTATAATGCATGACGTTAGAAAAATATGAACTCAAACTTTTAAGCACGCGATATGAATATTTCATATATATATATCTATCCACAAATTAGAACGCCTCACCAGGCTGATTTTAAATTTAAAACACCGCCACCAACGTCCGATTTCTGATAGCTTTTTCTATTTTAGATGCCCAATTCAAAATTATCAACAAGTAAGTTAGTAAGTTACTTAACACGCTTGTTAAAATCACTTTCACAATTGCAAATCAAAATGTTGTTCTATAGGATATTCATTTATATTTTTTATTTTTTATCGCCACAAATTGTTTTCTCTAAACGAATTAAACGAATTAAACTGAGAGAAGAAAAACAAGGAAGACAAACGGATAGGAAATTGGACGAACAGAATTGTAAGCAACAAAAACATCTTTCTGATAATCATAAGACTGATGATGGATGAGCTAATCTGGCCAGACTGTATCGGCAGCCCAAAGGTACTTGATCAGTTTGGCTTTAAAAGTAGAAATCCGCTATGACTGCCGAATACATTCTGGTAGACTATCTATAAAAGAAGCTATTTCAGAAGGCATCCGAGCAGGGCACAGTAGTACTCATGTAAGTCGAAGTATCCGTCCTATCAATTATATGAGCATTGTGCTTAGTGTATTGGGTGCCCTCTGGAACTATATGGGAAAATGGGCGATTAGGTTTGGCCTCTATACGGCCCTATGGCTATACGGCCTCTATACGGCCTCTATACGGCCTCTATATGGCCATTATACGGCCTCTATACGGCCACTATATGGCCCCTACACGGCCACTATACGGCCTCCTCTATACGGCCTTTATACGGCCTTTATACGGCCTTTATACGGCCTCTATACGGCCTTTATATGGTCTCTATAAGGCCTCTATACGGCCACTATACGGCCTCTATACGGCCTTTACACGGCCACTATACGGCCACTTAAAAGATATATTTCATGGCCTTTATACAAACCTTGTGACGCATTGAGGCACTGAGGCACTTGAGGCAGCACTTTGAGGCCCTGAGGCACTTGAGGCAGCACTTTGAGGCCCTGAGGCACTTGAGGCAGCACTTTGAGGCCCTGAGGCACTTGAGGCAGCACTTTGAGGCCCTGAGGCACTTGAGGCACCACTTTGAGGCCCTGAAGCCCTTGAGGCACCACTTTGAGGCCCTGAGGTACTTGAGGCACCAATTTTCAACACTTGATCCATCGTACAGGGTTACTAACATAATATGATGATTAATGGATTGATTTCGTGACTAACTGACTAACTAGACTAATCATTAATCAGTACTCGTCCAAATTGTTGTGCCGATAATGTTCAACGGTTCAAAATGTAAAACATTTTTCTTATTCATATTTGGAATTTGGATGCTCATTTCTAAACATTACTTATTATAACTCGAATGGGACGTTGGTTTATACATTATAACTTCATATTGGTACTAAAAGTGGTGCCTCAAGGGCCTCAAAGTGCTGCCTCAAGTGCCTCAAAGTGCTGCCTCAAGTGCCTCAGTGCCTCAATACGTAACAAGGTTGTCTCGGGGCATTCGACAACATCGCACTCCCCATCAACGACGGATACGTCTCCATGCATTTCTTTGGCCAGAATATCAGCGTAAGAGATGATGGGTTCCGAACCACTCAAACCAGCAAAGAAGATCCCACAAATACCTTCATTGAACATAGAAGCAATTTCAGCTTGAGTGAGAGCTCTGTCCCACATGTTGATGTTGTAGAGGTTTCCAATGTAGGTTTGGGTAGAGTCGAACCCTCCTCCTACTCTGTCCTGCTCCTGTCCGATAACAAAAGTACCTCCTGCTGTCAAAGCTTTTCCTTTCTTGACCACGGCAGTAATGACTGCTTTTCCGTTGATATTGATGACGGCATTTCCAGTCTCTGAGTGGCCCAGGTATACACGTGGACCCAATTGTCCTTATAGTTATAAGCTGGTAGCACAGGAGATTTAGTCATGATTCTCTTCACATATAATCTGTGATCACCCGATGCGTCTCCCAAGATGATCTCGTTATCATTTCCAGGAACTGCGTAGCTGAACCAGTATCTGGCTCGTCAATTGTCCTTGTCCTGCTTCCAAGCACACACAGTTAATCCAGTCAGGGTAGAAAGTTCAGGGTTGAAGCTGATGTAGTTGGCTTTGCTAGCTGCGGGGAAGTTGATGATCTTGTTGTAGCTGGTGTCACTGGCGGTGCCACTGGCGGCTAGTCCCACCACTGCGAGTAGAATTGTCAGAGAGATCATCATTAGGTTGTGAAGAAGGTAAGTGAGCTCAGCTAGTTCCCAGGGTCAGTTAAAGATTAGCTGCTTGTATAATATCTGCACGTCGTTCAATGATGGGACTAAATTCTTTGGTTAACATCTGATTATGTCGTCAAATTGCTCGATCAAACTTGTATCATCTGGTACATCATCCGGTTTATTATATTATCAAACAATTGTAACTTAAACTCTCCGTATAATATTAATATTGCTTCAATGTCTAAAATGGCGAGCTGGAGGTCAGTCTTAAAGGTTCAAATCTAACGTATCCGAGTTTTTTCAGTCCGTGAGTACAGTGGCGCAACGTTGCCTGTTGGCGCCCCCCGCTAAAAAAATTGACCCCTGTCGCGGCGCCCCCTCCTCTTTGTCGCCCCTCCTCAAAATTGAACAAATTGGTTGATTTAAGAGGAAACGCCGGTAAAATCTCTAAAAAAGTGTATTTATAGAACAAAACGCGCAGTTTTGCTAGTACTGTAGTTAAGTTTTTCCAAATTGTTCCACATTCAAATGACGACTTGGCGACCCCTTGAGATGGCGCCCCCCACACAGCGGGGTTTAATCAAACGTATCCGAGTTTTTCCAGTATAGTGAGTTATGTTTTTAAGCTTTTAAGGTTAAGACTGGTTTTGGAGGAGTCATTTTATTTTTAGGCCAAGTTTGTGTCAACAATTTTTGATTATTCTTAGAAAAGTTCCTCTTTACCCCAGAGAAATTGATTCAGGAGGATGTTCTCTTTTACGGATCAACGAACGCACGGCTTGCCTTAATAATATAAATATGTTATTTTTGTAGTTCGTATGTGGTACTTGATCTTGGTTGAATGACAAATACGATTCCGATTTCAATATCCTCTGCAAATTAGATTTTACCGTACATTTTTGTTGAGGTATGCTTGGTTCATTGCCGTTCATGTAACTTCAAATTCATTTTGATTGAATGATGATTGATGATCTCGAAGTCATATTTGAAGGTATTAGTATCAAAAGACAAAAACCATGTCTACTTTTGCAGAAGATCTTAATATTATTATTCATCATTCATCAATACACAGCTGCGACTAACCTAAACCAAGGGGGAGAGGAAGACCCCAAACTCAAAGTGATCTTTGGAGCTTACGTTATGCGTCATTCTATTAGTTCTATTAATTCTATTAGTATTTTTAATCCAGCTCACAGCTGCAGCCCCATGGCTGACCTTGAGATGCGATGTATTGTCATTGACGTTGGTTATGGAATTTGTGACACTATTCCACAAAAAGTATATAAATTTGATAAACGATGTGAATGGCAATCCTTCCCAGCTCGCACTCGTAGCGGCCCAGTATCAACTTAATAACACCAGAATGTGTGTGTGTCGGTCTGTCTGTCTGTATATCTGTATGTGTGTAATTTCCGAATGGTTATACAAAAAAACGGTAAGAGTTACGTCACTGGTTTTTTCGGTATAGTGCGGACAAAAATCTGATGAAGCCCATAAGCAAATTTTTTTTAAATCGGCCGGTGGTAAGTGGTTTAATTGACGGTTTTGTACCAAAAATGTGACATAAAATAGCTTGAGCAGAACGGCAAGAGTTACGGGGCTTGCTCTCTCTCTCTCTCTCATTACTGTATTATATGTAGCGTCTGCATAATTGGGTTAGCCCAGGAAGATTCGCTGTAATGTTATACCATAAGCTTATTAGGGGAGGGGGGACTGTTAGTGTTTGGGGTCTGTTTGGACTGCAGAGAGAGAGTTCATACGACAATGTTATGCGTGTTTTCAAATATAATAGGCGGGTGTGGTGCGTAGTTAACAAGGGTTGATTTCTATAACGATTTAAATAAAAATGGAAAGCGGTTCAAGACTTATTGGGCGGCGCTCAGCCTGTCATTTCGCCAAATCTTTATGAACATAATAGCCTGGAGTCCCCAGGTAATTCAAGACGGGAGTGATGAGGTGTAATAGTCGGTGTGCAGACCTTATGATCATGGAATGTGGTGCCTAATGGCTAATAATGACTTAATTATTCACGAGAAAGAACTGATTATGAGATTATTGTTTAAAATGCTTTTGGGTCACCTAATGCGGGTTTTGACTCAGCGGGTAATTACTCATACCCTTTTTAACTGCGGCAGTGAAATCCCGGCCGAAGGCTGGGTTACACTAGTATTATTATATAGTGCTACGATCTCGGGAAGTGCATTCATGCGCTATATGAGTATAAATATTTTTACAATCTATAATGGCGCCATACTTCAATGGCGTCATAATATTTATCATACTCATACTCATAGGCATGAAAAATTTCTGAAGTTAAATTAAATCCACAACATGTTTTGCTGGATTTTATATTTTGTAATTGAAGCTCTAGACTGTTTTTATATTAAAATCGTTTATCGAGAGGCTCATAATTGATAATGAGAAAATCCCTTTACATTTGTATCATATCAAAAGACGAATACTTGAAACAAAACCGAAATGAAAGGATAACAATTATAATTGAGGAAAGTCAACAATAAAAATATCAATCCCGTCCGATTCGTATGTAATGGTATCGTATCTCCTCAAAACTTTATCAAATCAAAATTAACTACAAATTTGTTAAGTTCCTGTCGGTCGTAAAGTGACGGGTGACCGTATTTTAGTCGTTTAACATCATAGCTTGTCACTTATCATCTACGCATATATTGCATAAGTTTTCTAACCAAAATGTATACATATTTTATAAATCAAAAACCATACCGCATTTTAAGCATAACTGAGAACCACAACAGAAAGTAAATAGAAACAATAGAGACATTATAAGAGTCAAACAAATCCATCGATTCCTTTGCATTGATAAAACTACTGCCCGTCAAAAGATTTAAAACACAAAACTTCAATTACCAAACTCCTGTTTGTGATTAAAAGTAATCACTATGTTTGCGTTTAAAAGTAATCACTATAAGCAACTGACAGCTATTCTAAAATCTGATCACTAAAAGTAAAACCAAATGTAAAGGATTTATAATCCAAATCGAATACATTTTTCTGAAAGCTGAATGGTGTATTCTGTTACCATTATATGAGACACAAACGTTTCATTAAACACAAATTCGAAAATTGAATCGCCAAAATCGCACCAGATACCAGGAACACAAGATGGAAAAACTAACATATAATAGGTAATAATATAGTAACCTCAGTTGCTAGGAGACTGATTCATGATTGTGGTTGCTAAGGTGGTCATAGTAACGTACAAAATTCAGAAGTCGCTATTAAACCTTAGAACTACCAATAACATTTTACAGAATGAATTTTAGACGAATGGATAAAAAGTTACTTAAAAAGTACATCCTTGCAAGACTTTTGGAAATTCCTTGTATTTTATTAGTATTTAACTTGCTCTAACCAGAGCCCTCTCGCTTGCAGTAGCGCGCGACCGCCAAATTTTATCAGTATTTAACCGTTCAAATAGCCCTGTAACCCAGTCCCGGATTAGATTGTCTGCGTCTCATGGCGAGTACAGCAACACCCAGAATCAGAGCAGCGGAGGGTACACCTATGATAACGAGAGTCAGGATTGTGCCGAGGGGGGTTAAACCTTCACTCTGGGGCACTCCAACTCCGATAGCTAGCGTCCTGGAGGGCGGTGGTGCGGGGTTAAGTAACTTGTATTAATTATAAATGGTTTCAATCTTTTTACTTTTATGACTGAACAAACCTTTATAATCCCAATTACCTTGCTCCATGATCTCAAGTATAAGACTGTAGTGTCGATAAAGGAAATAAAGCCATTATTATAATCCCAACTTTAAACTAACCAATAGATGGTGTCGGGGATATTTTCTTTGCCGTCTGGGGGGCTGACCACTAAACGTAAGGAAGAGATGTCAGATTTCTTGTAGTACTGTGGGGAGTTTAAGGGTTAATAATTCATTCGAGTAAATTATCTGTATAATAGCAATATATAATAGTAAGCAAAATAGAGGGGGGGGGGGGGATGTTTAGCAGTGACATTTACTTGCAACTTACTTGCCACATGACTTTTAGAAAATGTGTACATTATTGATTTGTAGTTAAAAATATGTCTATGATATAAAGTCATATTTCTTCGGTTTAACAATTTATACATTACAGCTTGTCAGTTATTTATTTGTCAATTAACTTTTTTGATCTTTAAGAAAAGAAACTAGTGGCTGTTTAATAATGAATCAAAGCAGTAAAGAGCATTTGTAAGGCTAGATCACTCAAAAACCCACTCCAATTTCATATTTAATTACAAAACATAATATGAAATGAAAGCCAACCAAAAAACCAAAAACACAAACTGCGACTTCGAATTAATTAATTTTGGCTTTCTCGAAGATAGAAGTAAATCCGTCTCATCATACTCCATTATCATTATTAATCTGGCTGGAGACCGACGACTCTGAACTGACTTCAGAAGGTAATGATCTAGACATCTTAGATGGTCTCTTAGGGAGCATTTCAGAGAATTGTCTATAAAGTCCACGTCCCTTCTTCTTTCTCTTCAAAACAAAAGCTTTGAAAGAAGACATGCGGAAGAAGTAGACTATGGGGTTGGAAGTGGAGTTCATAGCGATACATATGATAAAAGTGATGTTCCAGGAGTACCAGTACATAAAGGGATGACCATACTGTTCCAGATAGGTGTTCTCCTCATTTATCCAGCATCTCATGAAGTAGATGTAGTTGATGAAGATTGGAAGGTTATAGAGGAGGTAAATGGAGGTGAAGATGATGACCGTTACAGTCGCATCGTTGTGCTTCTTCGTGCTTCCTGCTCCCAACTTTTTCAACTTGTGCAGCTTAAAGATGATCATGAGGCAGCTTAGGAAGATAGGAAGGATTGGCAGTGCCATCTGCACAGCGCAGGTTATAGACAGGAACATCCAGTTATCAGCACGAAGAAAGCAGTAGTTCACATCAGATCCGTACTTGAAATGTCCGTTATCAGTGAGAATGGGAACCAGCCTGGTTAGAATGAGCTGCACCATGTAACCAGTAAAAATCACCACAGTGACCCTCCTGTTAAAGACAACAAGAGGATAGAGTAAGGTCAGGAGTCGGGAGATGCTGAGGCACCCAACTAGGAAGACACTGAAGTAAGGGAGAACCTCCCAGAGAGCACCCCACACGTTGCAGAACACGTGATTTGAGAAGAGGACAGGGTTATCTCGTCCTGAGAAGTAGCTTTCAATCTGAGCAGGCAAGGAGAAGCAGACTAGTAAGTCACACATTGCTACCACCAGGTAGATATCCGTGAAAAACATTTTCTTGCTCCTCATTTTGGCCTTCCTCGGGTTCGCAAGGGATCTGTGCTCGCAGATAAAGTGGATGAGAGCAAGGAGATTGCCCGGAACTCCAAGACACATACAGAGGATACAGATACAGGCGAGGAAGACGTCCACTCTGTTTCGGAGGTCTGGGTTTATGGGGATCCCTGGTGTGGTGACATTTGTAGTTACTTGGTCGTTGTAAGGAGAACTGTAGTTCAGATCCATGTCTGGAAAAAGAAGTTGTAAAGTTACTCGTGAATTGGCTGGCCGCTGGAGGCTTTTTAGCAAAAAAGGCCAAATAAAGATTTAAAGGAAATCGTGAAAATCCGAAACTACAAAAGTTCTTGAGGTTAAATTATCGATAGAAATTACACTGCAATAGTGCAAATTAAAAACAGGTGCAATTCATCTACAACCGGTCGTTTAGTAGTTAAACTTTTCAAAATATTTGTATTATATTGCTCGCTTATCATGAGTTGCTTATCAATACGCTGATAAGACTTACTTGTTTGACCGGTGGCGTGGTTTTATGGTGTACAAATCGGAGAAATACAAGAATTATATGCTCGATGAATTGGTAGATGATGTAGTTGAGTGGATCCAGAAAACTCTCGGGCTTGAAATCTGTGGTTGAGGATACTGTGAAATCAGAGTTAGAGACATAGAGCGCCGCGGTACAGGAACCAAAAACCGCAGCAGCAGGTTTTTTGTTGGATTTGGATAAAAGAATTTCGTCAAGAACGTTGTGGCAGAAGGAGACCGTAGTCGGAGTTTTATGTTATTTGGACTAAAGGAAGAGGAATAGAAACTTGTATGTGACAAGGTCGGTCAAGTTTTTTTGGAACTTGGTGGAAAGCCAAAAATAGAAGCCAGCAGAATTGGTTTGAATAATACCAGGGACAAAAACCAATTGGCTCGACCTGTTACGGTGACTTTGACGAGCTCATCAATCGTAACTTTTCAGTCAAGTCGTTATCGGTTGAGATAGGTCTCCAGAGGAACAGCTTGTTTTAGAGCTCACAAAAGAGGTTGAACGAAGAGCCAAACAAAATACACCTTATTAAAGGAGGCAAATTGTGTATGTTATGTGGACAAATTGTTGTCTGGAATGTGCAAAGAAAGAGTTTTGTCGGTTTTTTTGGATTCTTCATTTTGATATTTTTGATGAGCTTGAAAATCATATCCGTCTTTCGACAAAAGACTGTTAGCAGTTAGTCTTCTTAAATTTTGATTCTAGATTCAGAATTTCGTGCGGTGTAAAATCTAAGAGTTATTTTGGTTTATATTAGCAGATTTAAGTATATAATTATTGTGTATTGTTATAATGGTAATAATAAAGATTATGGCCACATAGCCATCTCTACAAGACTCAACCCAACTGTACTCAACTCGATTGCAGTTCACACAATAGTGTTTAAAGATATCTTTCTAGTATGAAAAGCAATGCTGTTAAATACATAGCGTTTCAAGCAAACGTATGCATACACAAACATATTTGTCGCCGAAAATTCGCGTATCTCGATTTCCACTGTGGAGTAAGAATTTTTTTTTTTCGGACAAATTTTAGAGGTATCCCGGACAAAATTTAACAGGGTCTAAATTTAATTTTTTTCGGGCTTATTAATTGGAAACTTCACGTATCTTACGTATTTCTCTCGAACATTGAATACGCCGTATTTTGAGCCGATTTTTTAACGTATTTAACAACGATGATGAAAAGTAACTTGTTGTATGTATACATTTTTGAGTAAATAGTAACCAGTAAACGAAGCTGGTTCCCAATCAAAATCATACTATAGAGACTACAGGCAGCAAATTAATCCACTGTCACTTAACAGATTTAGTCAGACTTCATGCAGTGTTTACCGCAATAGCTGCGTCTTTCACTTCCAAGCTACCAAATCGGACGTTATTTCATATTTGACCGGACATTGCGTGAACGGACACAATTTAAAATAATATCATTCTTGGACTTCTAACACGTTTACTTCTTGGATATAGAAAACGTGTTAGTTATTTGTCAATTAATATATTGCATTTGTCAATTAACTTTTTGATCTTTGAGGAAAGAAACTACTGTCTGTATATTGTATAATAATAAATCAAAACAGTATTTAATAGCATTTAAATGGCGAGATCATTTAAAAACCCACTGCGATTTCAGCTTCCATTACAAATACAAAACATAATTGGAAATGAAAGCCAACAAATAGAATTCACTTAAAACCACAAACTGTGGATTAACTTCAAGACTTGGGATTTCTCAAAGATGAAACTAAGATTATACTGATTAGGATCCTGTTCAACTAAGATGACAGTATCTGTCTTCTCATACTCCATTATCACTATTAATCTGGCTGGTAGTTTTGCTGGAATCCAACGACTCTGGACTGACATCAGAAGGTAATGATGTCGACTTCTTAGATGCTCTCTTAGGGAGAATACCAGAGAATTGTCTATAAAGTCCACGTCCCTCCTTATGACTCCTTAAAACAAATGCTTTGAAACAAGACATGCGGAAGAAGTAGAGTATGGGGTTGGAAGTGGAGTTCATAGCGATACAGATGATGAAAGTGATGTTCCAGGAGTACCAGTACATAAAAGGATGACCATACTGTTCCAGATAGGTGTTCTCCTCATTTATCCAGCATCTCATGAAGTAGATATAGTTGATGAAGATTGGAAGGTTATAGAGAAGGTAAATGGAGGTGAAGATGATGACCGTTACAGTCGCATCGTTGTGCTTCTTCGTACTTCCCGCTCCCAACTTTTTCAAGTTGTGCAGCTTAAAGATTGTCATGAGGCAGCTTAGGAAGATAGGAAGGATTGGCAGTGCCATCTGCACAGCGCAGGTTATAGACAGGAACATCCAGTTATCAGCACGAAGAAAGCAGTAGTTCACATCAGATCCGTACTTGAAATGTCCGTTATCAGTGAGAATGGGAACCAGCCTGGTTAGAATGAGCTGCACCATGAAACCAGTAAAAATCACCACAGTGACCCTCCTGTTAAAGACAACAAGAGGATAGAGTAAGGTCATGAGTCTGGAGATGCTGAGGCACCCAACTAGGAAGACACTGAAGTAAGGGAGAACCTCCCAGAGAGCACCCCACACGTTGCAGAACACGTGATTTGAGAAGAGGACAGGGTTATCTCGTCCTGAGAAGTAGCTTTCAATCTGAGCAGGCAAGGAGAAGCAGACTAGTAAGTCACACATTGCTACCACCAGGTAGATATCCGTGAAGAACATTTTCTTGCTCCTCATTTTGGCCTTCCTCGGGTTCGCAAGGGATCTGTGCTCGCAGATAAAGTGGATGAGAGCAAGGAGATTGCCCGGAACTCCAAGACACATACAGAGGATACAGATACAGGCGAGGAAGACGTCCACTCTGCTTCGGAGGTCTGGGTTTATGGGGATCCCTGGTGTGGTGACATTTGTAGTTACTTGGTCGTTGTAAGGAGAACTGTAGTTCAGATCCATGTCTAGAAAAAGAAGTTTTAAAGTTACTCGTGAATTGGCTGGCGACGTTTTAGCAAAAAAGGGCTAAAACGATAAGGTTTTTAGTAAAATCCGAAACTACGCAAGCTCTCGTGGTCAAATCAATAGTAATAGTATAAATTTTTTTTAACAGGTGTAATTAATGTAGAACTGGTCGTAGAATACTACGGAGACTACAAGAGTACAAGCAGCAAATTAATCCACCGTAACTATACAGAATTAGTCAAACTTCATGTAGTGTTCACGGCAATATATTGCTTATAAACTATACAGGCGACAGAAATTATAATGGTGCGATAGCGTATCACATATTATCAAACTATTGGTAATTAAAGCGATTGCAAGTTTTAAACACATTATACTTTATCAAGCATTAGGCAGTGTATGGATAAAGATAAGTGTATTTGAATATTGATAGCATAGTTCAATATTTGTATTTAAGAAATGACTGATAATCAAGCTTAAAATTTGTTTTTATAAGATGACAGGAAAGGATCATTGTGACTGTGTCCAAATAATAACGGCATCTACTCAAACAAGTCATTGCAAAAATATTCTAGATAGAATTAAGGTCAAGATCAAATAGTGTCAAAATCAGTGAACAGACGACATACATTTTCAGACAAATTGTGATTGCGCGGATATCCGTCATTGCTAAAAGTAAAAGAGCAACTCCCATTGATTTGATCGAATTTCATAAAATCTTCTCGAAAATTTTTAAATCTTACTATATATAAAGCGAGACGATATATATATATTTATTTATCCGTGCCATTTTACTGACACCACGGCATCAACTTTAAAGCGAATTTCCGCAAAAACCGTAAATGATATACAACTGAAACTTTTTTGACTGGGTCAAATGCTTTAATGGCCTCCAATTCAGCATGAAAAAATAAAAAATTGGCCAAGAAACAGGAGTTTTAGACCCCAAAATTTGGACCCCCAAGTGGTGTCAAAAACGCGAATTAAATAGGTAATAATTATTTTAGTCTCTTGAGTCTTGACACCATTTTAGGGTTATACGGGTTCCTGCTAGTATCTTTAAAGCAGCCGACTCGCTCATATTCAACTATATTAAATTGGAGGAAGATTAGGAATTTTAACGAAGGTAAAGTTTTTAGTTTCTGTTAAATACAACTAGACAGTGATTTCACAGTACAACAGTAAGTACAACTTTTACTTTTAATAATAACGGAAAATTTAACAAAAATTACATTCAAATCGACAACCAGCATGAATGCCGATTGCCACCATATAAATTATACTTTTTACTGTGCCATTGAAAAGTTGTGCCAGGACGTTTTTAGTCGCCAACTGTTGACATTAAGAAACTAAGATACTGAAAGACTGGCAGTTGTAATTATTTCTCAGTATCGCTGACTATTCCTACTGATTACAATATAAATCAATTATAATAACTATAATTTGTAGTTTCTAAGCACCGTTACCAGAAAATGTGGTTCCTTTTTTAATGGATATGTCGAGCATGTAAAATTTACAAACAACATGGTGGAGCACGAGTTAAAAATCTGAAGACGATTAACATAAGTATTTTGAAAGCTCCTGCTTAATTAACTTTTCGTATCACTTATATTATGTTTAAAACAACCCCCTCCAGGTAAAGAATACTCAACATTTTTAATTTATATTTTTAATTTTCAGTTCAAATTTGTTTTACCAATTTTAATTCATTTATCACAATAACTTAACCATGTTGAATGCAATGTCAACATTTCCTCAAGTAAAAACATTTCTGAATCCAAATGTTGAATTCCACCTAACTGCCCTTCAAGTTCAAACACTGAACTGAAAACTCGGCCAAAGTTAACACAATAGGATCTATGATGTTGCACTCTCATTTCCGAATAAAGACTTCTGCGTAGAGCTCGCAATAGTTGACAGTCACATTTTAGAACTATACCAACCATCCGGAACCAAAGTCACCATGGTTACTATAGTCACGATTCTCGGCATAAGCAATATCAGAGTCTTAATCCTGATCGGCATCTTTAACCTATAAACGAGTCTTTCAAGAGCTTACTGCTAGTGCAGGATATGTCTATTTTCTTGCTTATCGTAACATATCTATGAAGTTACAGTGCTGTCTTCATCCCATAAAGCTGGCTGTAAAACGTAACTCTTTTGTAATAATCAGTATAATTAGTTAGCTGGAAACTTAAGCAAACTCTTAACTTAACTATAAGCAAGAATCAGTGTTTATTTCAGTAGTCTAGTTTTCCTATGACCAGTTTAACGTTGAAGGGATGGATTCTGATTTCTGACAAAAATTGATATTTCATTCAAGATTTCCCAGACATTTTCCTGTCTTTGAACTGTTTAATGGTATAAAATCCTATCATAATATGTAGTAGAAGATAAGACAGTGCGAAGTTTCAGCCGAATGGGCTGAAAAAAGCCTTAGAAAAGTGAGCAAAAAAGGTCGGCACTTTGATACTGAGTAAGTTTGAAAACATTTGCTTGCGTTTGAACTTATATTGATATTTTTCTAGAGCCTGGTAAATCCCGGTCATGTTTGACTTTCATTTGGTATAATTTTGGGATTTAGAGGTTGATTCGGAAATTTATCAAATAGTTGGTGTTAGCGAAATGATCCCATAATCTCTTGCAATTTGTCATTTACATGATGATTAATTGAAAATAAATTTCTTAGTTAGCCGAATTATCAGCAATATAGCGAAGCTGCTAGAATAACTTGTAGTAGGAGGATTTATGAGTGTAATTAATAATTATAGCCAATATCAATATAATATACACGTGCCAGTCTGCCACAGGTAGACACTAAAACTCTTATAGAGCGTAGAAAAGAGTTGTGTCAGTAACTTCACGCTGTAGCAGGAAACTTTAGTCTTAATTTAGGTGCACGTGCAAAAAGATACAAAGTATGTGCGCAAACAGCGGGACTACACGTGCAAACAGCGGGACTACACGTGCAAACAGCGGCATTACGCGTGCAAAACAGCGACACTGTTATAGTGTCCTAACTTGATTGCATACTCACCTCTGTAAGAACGCTGTGCATACAGGTAACACTTAGCTGATACTTAAGTCACTTGGTATAATTTTGGGATTTAGAGGTTGATTCAAGAAGTTATGAAAACGTCGGTGCTTAGCGAAATGATCCCAGAATCTCTTGCAATTTGTCATTTACATGATGGTTAATTGAAAATAAATTTCTTAGTTAGCCGAATTCTCAGCAATATATTGGTTTTGGTTTTGGTTTATAGAGCTACACGCCACATATGTCCAGGTTCATTATAATATATAATAATGTAGGAATTCTAGGCAATGTGCTTGGTTGTGGGACACACTCAACTAGGGAAGTTGAGAGGCCTCAAATCAAGTCTCATTAAAGAGATATCAACAGAGTGTGAGCCACTGCCAGACTTACCTGTGAATTGTGATTAGACTTAGAGTTTGCCAGGCTCTATGAGTGTGGTAGAGAGTGTCTTTTTTGTCCTATCCTTTGTTCGTGATGCTGATAACAGACTCTTGTTGTAGGTGGTGGTGACAAAAACTCATTTGCATGATTGGGTCTAGAGATGGGTCGATTATGAACTGTGAAAGAATATAGCGTAGCTGCTAAAAGTAAAACAAATTGTAGTGGAAGGTTTTATGAGAGTAATTAATAATTATAGCCGCAATGTCAATTTAATATACACGTGCCACAGGTAGACACTAAAACTCTTATTATAGATCAACGTCGTAAAAAGAATTGTGTTAAGCAGGAAATTTTACACTTAATTTAGGTGCACGTGCAAACAGATACGAAGTATGTGCGCAAACAGCGGCATTACAGTCTACACGTGCAAACAGCGGCACTACACGTGCAAACAGCGGCACTACACGTGCAAACAGCGGCACTACACGTGCAAAAAGCAGCATTATACGCGTGCAAAACAGCGACACTGTTATAAGGTTATAGTATCCTAATTCCTACCTTGATTGCATACTCACCTCTGTTAGAACGCTGTGCACACAGGTAACACTTAGCCTCACTAAAAACAGAGCCGATATTTAAGCCACTTGCTACCTTTACTTGGTACTTACTTGTTCAGTGTGGAGCGTGGGAATATGTTCCCACCTATAGGTAATAACGACATGTTTATAATGGGATATGTTACTGTAGGTGTCGATACTAAGCGGAGTTTTGCTACAATGCCAATGGGACCTCGCAACTGTCAGTATAATAATATTAAAAGTAATTAATTAAACAGAATAATACATAATATGTACAGTAGGAAACTGTCAGTATAATAATATTAAAAATAATTAATTAAACAGAATAATACATAATATGTCGGTATAATGATAATAATAGCTTAATTGATACCTACTTTCTACACTACCATATCTTACTATATATAAAGCGAGACGATATATATGTATGTATATATCCGTGCCATTTTACTGACACCACGGCATCAACTTTAACGCAACTTTCCGCAAAAACCGTAAAAGATATACAACTGAAACTTTTTTAACTGGGTCAAATGCTTTAATGGCCTTCAAATCAGCATGAAAAAATAAAAAATTGGCCAAGGAATAATAATTTTAGTGCCCAAAATTTGGACTCCGAAGTGGTGTCAAAAACGCGAATTAAATAGGTAATAATTATTTTAGTCTCTCGAGTCTTGACACCACTTTAGGGTTAGACGGGTTCCTGCTAGTAAAAGGTAATTTGAGAAGCTATTGAGTATTTTACCGAAATGATGACTAGCCGAGGGACCAAGGAGCCGGGTTTTTGGTGGAGTCCGGTCAGGAGACAGATGTTTATCATCCACTTATAACTAATTGGGTCTCAATGAACATGGAAGCAAATAGATAAGCTGGTCTTTACGGCGTGGAGTCCACGCAAAAGTCAGTAAAGAGAATGCCGAAAGGAGTAAACAACTGGTATGATAATAATATTTTACAGATAATTATAAACATAATTTATCAAGCATTATGATATATTGTAGAGCAGATACTATGTCGGGCTGCAGGCAAGGATAAATAAATAGGGAGTGCCAAATGCAGACATGAAGTAACCCATTGTTACAAAAGCTATTTTATAACTGTATCATTAGAGTAGAGTTTAATAGGTCCTTATCTTCCCCTCCATGAATGAATGCAGAATGTAGAACTCCAGGAACGGTTGATTAGATCTGATTAATACCAAAACATGGGAGAGGTGGAAAACCATGGATTGTAAGAAATGTTGGAAAATTAGGAAGCGTAATTTGTGAATATGTACCACGAAAATATTTAAATTCTGCAGTCAGCGGACAGCCCTCACATTTTTATGTTATGGTCTGTCCCGTTTCTAATAAGAAGTGCAACAACGTAGATTAAAAAAAAGGAAGTTGAGATATCGATAATCAACGAAATAAACAAGCATAAATTTTGGGGGAAGGGATTGACCGATAAAACGCGGTATGCGGTAAATCGGGGCGCGGTAAATCAGTGTTTTTCTGTACTCAATACTTCGTGTCAATTAAGACAAGTCTGGGATAATGACCGAATTATTGATGACAATTAATCAATAATTAATCTTCATAAACAGTTTTTATAATTCATTAATATCAAAACTCTGCAAGGTAAGCATGTTTACCATACAATGCATGTTCCCCCATTTTTCACGTCCAACTTTTAGACTTTAGAGTGCGGTCCACATCAAGCAGAAAATGCATATTATCCAGAACCAAGATTGTAACAATCTCCCTTACACAAGATAGGTCAGCCACTCGGTCATAAGACTTACAGCTAGACCAACTGAGTTTAGCAGTCCAACTGAGCAGTTAAGCAGTCCAATCATAGTAATCATAGTCTTTTAAGTGCCAGCATCACAATGAAGAACCCGTATATAATATTCACAAATTGGGATGATTAAGGGGAAACAACCAGAATTTCAAATATGTAAAGGAGTTTAAAAGATGACATATACTTTATAATTGGAGAAGTGGTATCCTCTAGAGAAAGAGGTACTCTTTGTACTTCGGACCTGCATTTGTGCTGTCCGTGGCAAATATTTAGAAAGATCGTTTTTGTACTGCAGACAAGTATCCACTGCACCAGGTAGCCGCCCGTACTTTTGCATCTTCACGGCCACTTCACTCAACTTCAGCGCTCATTTTGGAGACACTACGTATCGGGATCTTTTTGTAATGATATTAATTACTAATATAGGATCAAAGGATCGTTTCAGAGTTCCGTGTACACAGTTTCAGGACAATTTTGGCATTTTATTTACAACCCTAACCAGGTTTCTTTATCAAACAAGGTTTTGTATGTTACACCATAAAAGTTGGGTTTCGTCACTTGATCTCCGCGTACAAAGATCCGCCTTAGCTTGCCGTTGAAACTGTTACATCACTGCTGAACCAACCTAGCATTGTAAGTACAAACTTAGTTGAGTACGGTTCAATGATTTAATGACTATATGATGAGTTACCGCGTGAACAATGATCCAACAAACTTCAGGCAATTAGATATTTGTAATAGTTATATATTGATGAGTAGATCCTGGCTTTGTGAATCACTTTCGTGCTATCCATTCATTTTGTACGCCTACCACTACCAGTTGTAGCTTACTGGTAAAAAGTTGCTTCCATGAATTTCTTCAGACGTTCTTCAGTTAAAAAGGTAAGGAATTGGCTAAAAAATAATGAAGATCAAACAATGTAAAATATAAAGGTACAAGTTGTTCTGGAGAAATCGTGTTCGAAACTCGACTAGGAATTCATAAGTAATATCCTATTAACGTACTTATGAACGATTTGTGGCAGTCCTGGGAACTTTTAATTGTATTTTCAAATCATTACTTCGAAAGCATAAATGTCGGGATCGTTTATTCTTTTTTCTTCCTAAATCTTCAGTTTCGAAGGAAATGGGCCCACGAATAGAAAATAGGAAATTAGAAAGAGAGGAAATTACAGGCGATAAAAGTATAAAAGTATAAACCACCAAATATTCATAAAATGAAGTACTCGGAATATGTTGATTGTTGCACGCCGCCGTTTTTAAGCATTCGGCAGTTTCGTCTGAATTAATTGCGTGGGCTCACAATTAGAATGGACATGTACAGTCTGGCTGAGCCAAAGGAAGGATTGTGTCTGAGAGTGTGAAGTTAAGAAAAAGTTTTAGGAAACACTCATCAAGCTCTATTTATGCGTTTCAGTGCTCTTGATAGTGATACTTTGATAGAGTTGTTCGGCATGAAATTAGGCGTACTCGAACTATAAACTGATTTAGAAACTATAATTTAAATCGCACAGGTACAGGAGGAACTGTTTTATTGTGTGCTTGGTATTGAAGCCAGAGTTAAGATTAAACAGTACCTCAGCACGGTGAGAACCATTATATCCAATTATATCTTATTATCAGTTTTCAGTTTTCGTGCCATTCTCGTTCAGTTTCAGCTGCATCAGCATATTTTATTTCAAAAACTAAATCGAATTTAATTTCATCAAGCTAACTATGAGTATTTCATTAATGTTCCCTGCACAAAATGTCCTACACATATATACCCCACACTTTTAACGGGTGATACTCGTAAAATATGTGTTTCAAATATTAGGACCGTCGACGAGTCCAACTCGGCGCGCGTCCTGGTAGGTTATAAACCTACAACCACACTTTTACACCTAATGTCAGGTTAGAGGACGGCTGATGGCGGGGGAAATGTTACTTACACGTGAGGAAATAGACGAGTTGAAGCAGACTTTTATAGGTGAGTCTTTCTGCCATTTACCTAGCTTGCTAGACTCTCGCTCGGTTCCCTTCACACAGAAGGAAAGAAATCAAGAAGCTCGAAAAGAGCGCCGCGCATAGGGATAGGCGTGCCTGGTAATTCTACCATGTTCAATATTATTCTGCGTACAAACAAGTTGAGATCAGCAACGGGATATCGTTCCTTATTCTCTTATTGGGGCACCCTCTAAATCGGTATTTTCGGGCGTAAGATGAACAGTTAAAAATGAGGCGGCGTCAGCAATGAAGGCCCCCTACCATTACTAGTGAAAATTTAACTTGTCATGACTCATTATTGATGAAGAATTAAGAAACTTTCTCATTCTTGATATGATTGGTGTCAGGTAATCAGGTAATGCTAATTGATACCCCATATTTAAGATGACCTAATTGATGAACCTTTCCCCACATTACCCCACATTACTCCACAGCAATGGACGATAATGGGGATGGAATGCTGGACAATGAGGAGTTGGCTGTCCTCTTTGACAGTCTGAATATAGCGTGTGCAGATGATGATATCAAGGTACTTGCGAATTCAGTTTTACGCTTTCTTCCATTCGAACATTAAAATTCATTTAATTTGGTTATTTAGGTAACAGTTTTGTGATCGAAATTAGATAAAATCATCTGATATCTAAATCGTCTATTTATGCCCTGTAGGAATTACATTGCGTAATACTAATAGGAATTGCAATTTTGTCCGCAGAAGTGATTACGAATCTATTAATAAGTATCTGATAACAAAACCGAAACATCTGGTAGTAAAGCCCAAACAGTATAATCAGCAAGCAAATTACCCGAAAGCACAATATTGGCGGCAAGTTTATCCAGGAGCATAACTCCAGGGAAGTCCATCATCAAGGACCCAGTATGAGATTGATAGCGAGTTTATCCATGGGAATGAGCCCAGGAAACTCTCTACTCACTGTCCTACTAACAGAACCCCCCTCACTGGGCGTACTCGCATCACTCTCACTAGACTCACTTCTCTGGAGACAGCCTGTAAACAGTTCTCTGAGGCGGTACACTGAGGCGGTGGCTAGACCCGGGAAGGAGGGGAGTCTGGAACTGGTGGTTAGATAGGCGTGCCGGAGGGACACATTACATTTGCTGCATTTAGCGGTGATGGTTAGAGCAGGGATCTGTTTCACGGTGACGGTGAGGGTGATTGTGAGGGTCCCGGAGTAGATCTCACCCTGGGAGCTGCTCACTTCACACAGGCACTCCTCGTAGATAACATGGTCTCCTTGTCTCAGCTCCACAACAGGTAGTGGAACTCTGCAGGTTAGGATCTTCTTGTAACATGAGCTGATGGAGGAACCTCTCCTCTCCTGGCTGCCTGGCTTTAGCAGACATTTTATCAGTTCTGATTTGACAAAGTAGTTGTTTTTAAGGTACCTGACTATGACATCTTTGAGGTAAGTCTCGTGGAGTAAACTGAACCTAATACAAGACAAGATAATCTCCTGATAAGTCTTATCAGGCATTCTGAAATCTAGCCAATCCAGAGCAGCCTCCAACAGCTCGTACTCAGTAAGAGAAGACACGTTGTTATTAGCGAGAGTCCTTACAACTGTTCTTACAGGGGTCTTGTACCAAGAAGCTCTTCTGACTCCTAAACTCCGGTCCTCTGCTTCACTTAACACCGCGTAGAACGTTAAATCAGGCTGTTTCAGAACCTGTTTGATACGAGCCGTATTACCACAGGTTAGAGACGGGAAAAGAGCCGACTTCTCGCTATCACAGAACACATGGAGAACAATCCTATTACAGAACTCACACTGAGACCTCTTAACAGCAACAGGGGGAGCAGCCTTTGTGCTGACTGTTATTGTAACACTCAGACAGTCTACTGGACCTGTTGTAGAGAGGTAGGAGCACTTGCAGGAGCCAGTCAGGGTGTAGGTTCCGTTCTTCAGAGCTAACAACTCCTTCCCTTTCTTGCCAGGAGGGGAGAGTAGAGTGACCACGGAACCGCTGACTGTGTGGTCGGTGTTCTTGCGGGGGTTATGCCCTTGAGAGCAGATCTGGATCCAATCACTTGGAGACACCTCGTATCTGATGATGTGGGGCTGCAGCGTTTTTAGAATGTAACTACAATGCAGTTCATCAGCTCGGATTGAAGATAATATGGATAGTATGCCTGGGATCTGAAGCTTACCTCTATCCTGATTGTCTAGCCAAACTAGGGCAGCTTCCGCGATTACATACTCGTTTGTTGCACTGATAAAATCGTTAGACAGCACAAATTCTGCTAGCTCCAGAGGAAAGGAAGTCCAGCGTGAGGTAGCGAAGACAGCGAGAGCCTCCTCCATGGTACCCGAACAAGCAGCGAAGTTAGCAGCATCTTGGAGACACTTCTTAACATACGTCTCCTGCTCCTCTGACAGTTTGGGGAACAGTTCTTCCTCAAGTTTCTGTGTAAGAGTCTCTACAAGTCTCTCCGAGCCAGCAAGCCGTTCCCAACAAATGGACTCGAACAGTTTGGTGATGTACGCTATCCTGACCACACTGTCTCCCATCCAAGTGATGACTCCCTGTAGAGTCTTCAACTCAGGGCGATCATCCAGCTGTTTAGTTGCCTTTAGAAACATCTTGAGAGTGGTGGGAGAGAGAGACTGGAGCTGAGCGGGGGAGATCACCCGGCGGTAGTCCGACAGTCTGGTCTGAACTATAAACCTGGGTGGTAAACAAAATATATTTAGTCTCTCGAATTTACAAATTTGTGGTATCATTGTATAAATATAGCCATGCTGATCTCAGAACACCCGGCCATAACTCATGGAAAATTTGGATTGTTGAGGTATCCTGTTTTAAAATGCAACAAAATAATTATTAAACCTGATGAGCTCTCCTCGTAACTTCTTACATCTCGTCTCCTCGGAGAGCTGCAGGAACTTTACAACATTGCTCCCATTCACAAAGGTGTGGAGCTCAACCAGAGCTTGTTCTTGTATCCAGAAGATCTTGTAGTTGATGCTGAACTTGTAAACAGTTGAGAAGTTCTGCTCGTCAATGGCAAGAACCCCGTTGTAGAATGACAGGATTATATCAGCTATAACAGTTTGTTCAACCTGCGAGTACGTTGTGAAACTGATACACCTCTTACTCTCCTTTATTGGATACTCCTCGAATGTGTCCCTAAAAACATCACTGTGCAGCGCCAGTACCACATAGTGACAATTCAGGGTGAAGGAGCTGCTGCCGTCCCCAAACTTAATGCAAGCATCACAAAACTTCTCCATGTTGATGAACATGTTGAGGCGGTTGCCACAGTTATCCCTCCAGAATTGAGATGCCATGATGGCCGGTTCCGGGATATCATGAAACTCACAGACGTGATCTGTATCAGCTCTGTAACGTAAGCAACAAAATGTACAAGATGAAAGCGTAAACATGCCAGGTTTTTAGCTTACACTGTTACACACTTGTATGTACTGAAACAAACTACTGTGAACACAAAAAAGATGTTATAGTGTGTTAAGACTTGAGAGAGTGCTTACCTCAAGATCCAGAACAATGTAACTTAAAGGGGAACATTTTTAATTAAGTATCGAATAAGTCCCCATTTTAAATGAGTCATCTACCTAAGAACTATGTGACCTATATTGAGTTTCATCAAGACTTGACAGAGCCACCACATCTTCTGACCACCCCAAAGTGAAGTCTCGCTCGTTGCACCAGCACAGCAGAGAGTTCGTATTTGTAAGAGTTTATTCATTATGTAGCTTCAAAAGCTTCGCAAATAATAATGCGTCCCCTCAGGCTTTCTTCTCACTGGTAGACGTTGATGATGACGGTACAGTCGACTACGATGAATTCATGACGATGGTGGAACATATGATGGAACTGGCTACAGCAGGGTACCTTATTATACATATATTATATAGATATATAGAGAGAGAGATAGTTACTATTATGTTTCAGCAATTGACATGACGATGGTGGAACATATGATGGAACTGGCTACAGCAGGGTACCTTATTATACATATATTATATAGATATATATATAGAGATAGTTATATATTATTTTCCAGCATTTCAAACCCCTGTTTTACTTCACCCGGTCAAATAAACGAATTTAATATTTACAACCTTTTAAGCTTATAAAATGTCACCATCAGCTGTTCGAGGAAGCAACTTCCTCGTTGAGGGTGACCTGAAAGTTGTGGTGACAGTCCTGGAGTGGGTTAATTACTTAATTGTGGGTTAATTACTTAATTGGTACGAAAACAGGAGCTTTCAAAATATTTGCGTAAATCGTCTTCAGCTGTAGTGGCAGTATTGCTTAACCTTTTAAATGAGGGATCTCTGATTTCTGTAGAAGATCAGATTAATCGTTCTAGTTCTGGGCACCTTGAATTTGACCAAAAATGGTTCCTTGAGAACATATCTATTCGATCGAAACAACTTACCTATTCGATCGAATCAACTCATAAACCCACGAGTTAATATGGAGGGGATATCATCTTTTAGTCGGTTTATCAAGAGTCGACCGAGGGCAGGAATTGTCCTCCTGACCGTTAATATGGAGGGGATATCATCTTTTAGTCGGTTTATCAAGAGTCGACCGAGGGCAGGAATTGTCCTCCTGACCGTTAATATGGAGGGGATATCATCTTTTAGTCGGTTTATCAAGAGTCGACCGAGGGCAGGAATTGTCCTCCTGACCGTTAATATGGAGGAGATATCATCTTTTAGTCGGTTTATTAATCAGATCTGTCCAACTTGTATTAGACATTAGTACACTACTTCATCCACACCAGTCATTTCATCAGTCATTCCACTACATTAAACTGATTGAGGTGATGCCCTTTGTACACGCTGAACGAATATGCTATGATGAGTGGAACATGAGATAGGATCTGTTTGGTCCGTTTCATGGCAAAAACATTTATTGATTTTGTATTAATCGGATAATCATATCATAAACCCAAACGTTGACTGAGTAACTAGGAGATATTGGGAGAAATTGCATTTTAAACGTTCCTTCTAGTTCGGAGCCCTTGAAATATTTGTTGAGAATATAATTATTTAAGCGAACCCATTTCATGACGGGAACACCCTCATACAGTTGAGTGCTTTAATGGTTAAATAATTGGTCTGACTCCATAATCTAAAGTAACTGTTTTAATTCGAATATAATATTCGCATAATTTAAAGTACATGTTTTAATTCTAAATCAAGAGCTCGAATATAATATTTAGATATAACAGTTGAGTGATTTAATGGTTAAATAATTGGTCTGACTCCATAATCTAAAGTACCTGTTTTAATTCTAAATCAAGAGCTCGAATTTGATATTCGCATAATATATCCCGCATAATATATCTTGCTTAAGGCGAATTTGATAACAAATCCTCTTAGATTAAAATTACCTTCCTCATATATAATCGCTGTTATCCTTTATTGAAACTGCCTTGAGGGAAAACAAAGCGAGCTTATATTCCTGACCTTTTAAGCTTATAAACTGTCACCATCAGTTGTTCTAGGAAGCAACTCAGTTTCCTCGATGAGGGTTTCCTGAAAATTTTGGTGACAGTCCTGGAGTGGGTTAATTACTTAATTGTGGGTTAATTACTTAATTGGTACGAAAGCAGGAGCTTTCAAAATACTTGCGTAAACGTCTTCAGCTGTAGTGGCAGTATTGCTTAACCTTTTAAATGAGGGATCTCTGATTTCTGTAGAAGATCAGATTAATCGTTCTAGTTCTGGGCACCTTGAATTTGACCAAAAATGGTTTCTTGAGAAAATATCTATTCGATCGAAACAACTTACCTATTCGATAGAATCAACTAATAAACCAACGAGTTAATATGGGGGAGATATAATCTTTTAGTCGGTTTATTAATCGGATAATCATATCATAAACCTGCAAACGTTGACTGAGTAACTGGGAGATATTGGGAGAAATTGCATTTTAAACGTTCCTTCTAGTTCGGAGCCCTTGAAATATTTGTTGAGAATATAATTATTTAAGCGAACCCATTTCATGACGGGAACACCCTCATACAGTTGAGTTTAATGGTTAAATAATTGGTCTGACTCCATAATCTAAAGTTACTGTTTTAATTCGAATATAATATTCGCATAATTTAAAGTACCTGTTTTAATTCTAAATCAAGAGCTCAAATATAATATTGAGATATAATAGTTGAGTGATTTAATGGTTAAATAATTGGTCTGATTCCATAATCTTAAGTACCTGTTTTAATTCAAGAGCTCGAATATAATATTTGCATAATATATCCCGCATAATATTTATATATCCTGCTTAAGGCGAATTTGATAACCAATCCTCTTAGATTAAAATGACCTTCCTCATATATAATCGCTGTGATCCTTTATTCAAACTGCCTTGAGGGAAAACAAAGCTTATATTCCTGACGTTAAATTATTACTCAAACGGCAAAGTTTCTTATATATAAATATAATCCAACAGTCAGCACTGTACGCGGAGAGACGACAAAAGACAATAGGGCTTGTGTTGGTTACTTACTTACCAACTTAGGGTTGCATGAATGTATGAGGTCGTTACCATTGCAACAATAACACGTTCATTACCATAGTAATTAGTAACAATATAGTAAGGTTCATTACCATAGCAACAATTTAAATAAGCCTCCTAGACGGTCAGTCCATTGTTCATCAGTAGACATTAAACTCTTATCAGAGCACATACAATAAAGGGAGTATTTCGTGAATGCTAAGGAGATTTCCTCGCTCCAGGCACAGACCTGAGACCCTATACAGATGGTTTAACAGGACCCTTTCAAATAGCATATAACTACATTAGAGTCTGGCAATGAAAGTACGGCAATAAATTATTATATTATCATCAACTTAGCTGAGTTTAATAAGAAAATAACACCATTTTGAACAAAACTACAGTTTAAGGTTCACCTCATGACAAGTATACACAAACTTCCAACCAGATTGTTTCTTACCAGATTTTCTTTAATTAAAGACCCTTCTTCTTCAGGCACAGCTACGTGGACATGTTTAGAATGTTGGACAGGGAACAGAGAGGTTTCGTTTCCATCGGAGAGCTCTTACAATCTCTCCAGAATAACGAGGTATGTAAATAATTTCAAAACAGCATTCCAGAGTATGTTAAAAAGTAGGTTTTAAAGGGTCTTCATAAACATTTTCTCGAAATTGTTTCTATAATAATATAGTGGGGAGTATAAAATAACGAGGTATGCAAATACCTCCAGTCAATACTTTTTATTTTCAGCAAATCACGAATACTTGACCTTTGTTTTTAAGTTGGTTAGTTTTAAATATCATTTATAAAACCTACAGATAAACTGACCCAGTGTCCGACATATGATAATTTTTCTTTACCACAGGTAATATGATAAGTTTCCTACCTCAGGTAATATGATAAGTTTCCTACCTCAGGTAATATGATAAGTTTCCTTTACCACAGGTAGGCATATCACTGGATGACGTGAGAACCATCTTGGATTACGACTGTTACGTTCCCGGGGATAAGAACAGGATCTCCTTCACCAGTTTCAGACGTATTGTCATGAACGAGCTGATCCCAGAGTGCGACCTGTTGATTGGAGATGTGGAGATTGACCAGCTGCTCTCTGATTCTGGCCAGGATGATTCCATGATAAGGATGATAAGAGCGGAGCGGGCTGAGGCTAAACGTTTGAGCAAGTTGGCTAAGTTGGCTAAGTTGGGTGTTGGTGATGAAGGGGAAGATCTGGCCAAGCAGGAAGGAACTGAGCTGGACTTGAAAATGGTAGTTGGACTTCTAGTGGAAACTGCCAGTGAACTAGGTAAAGTGTCATCTGGTGACGTTGGTGGGTTAGCTAGGCATGAGGGGGCGACTATGGAGGAAGTTGAAATAGAAAATAATTTACCTGTAGAGTGTAAAGAGGCGTTAGTTGAAGATAAAAACTTGCAAGAAGTTGAGATTTCAGCAGAACCTATGCCACACGAAGATTGACACACTGACACAGGGATCCAACAAAAAATGTGCCAACATACTGGGCTACCATTAACAATATGCGTCAGGTTACAAATAATCGTTCTGCTCCCCCTCCCCCAAAATCCTTCAACCCTGTTCCCCCAAATCCCCATGAAGCGCGATGCACTACTGGTCCGCGCCGCGCATCAAATAATGTTTTTCGCATCCACTTCACCAGGTCGCAATGATGCACTACTGGTCCGCTACGAGCTGTGAAGGATTGACATCGTCAATCAACAAATCCGGAATCCCCCTCCCCATCCTCCCTCGTATAATTCTATGTGAGAAGAGGACGATAATTTATGAAATGAAGTTTGTTTTAATTGTGGCTACCCGAGTACCTGGTGGAGAAGTATCGCTTGATAGCTCATTTACTGAAAACGAGTTCATTGTGTACAATATAATATACTCATTAAAATTAATTGCGAGCTGAGGTGCTTTTGTTTAAATAAAGCAGTCTTGGAGACATGGAGTAGACTTATGGCTATGTTTATTTTTTGTTGTACCATTTCATTAATATGACAAAGTAAAGTTGTGTTGATGGAACTTTCAATTTTGATGGATTTATTATTTTAGCTATATATATTTATTATTTTAGTATATTATATACAAAATAAGTTTTAAGTCCATCAGACAGGTCATGATTGAAGTACATAATTTTGCAATAGTGTAAACAAGAACGCAAGGATTACATTGCATAACAAAAACATTCAAGTTGTGTGATTTTAGTACAAGTATAACTACAAAAAGCTTTTAGTTTTCAACAATAAATATTGTCGACCTGCTGCTAGGAATGACTTTGCAAATCCATTGTTGGCACTGAAAGTAATCACAAAACATCGGACGACCATGCACGTATTTTATAGATAATCAGCTAAACAACTCGCACAAAAAAGTTCATTTTCAGTATTTAAAAAAGCGTCTGAAGTTTATAAGCATTATGTACACAAACTGGGCGTAAACACGTGAACTCAGTCGAAGAGACGATCGAGGGTTGTTTTTTTGCCAAGAATGTTCTTAATAAATCTTTAACTATGGTTACTGAAATAACTTGGCAGACCACCCTCGATGTGGCCACTTTTGGGTCCCACACTAACACACACAGGCAAAAAACGTTAATTGTGTGGGAAATAAATTTATCTCTCGCTAAGAGAAACGGGAGGTAAATTGTTATATTTTTTTTATGTAGAAGTGTTTTTTTTTTCTTCAGTGAAAAGTTCGATATACCCACGTTTTGATATTGCTACTGTTTTATTATGCCGTAAAATAACTGATTGTTTTATTAATTAATTATTTTATTAGACGCAGCTTTTGTTGTCAATACATCGCCTCATCCTCCCTACACACACTAAATACTAATACTAATACACACAGCATTCATTCAACCCTGTCACGTGTTCACTCAGGAATGGGTCATTATAGATTAAGTCCAGGTAGATTAAAGAGGTAAAGTTCGGATTGTTCTTCCCGGAGTACCGCGCATAGGAGCCAGAATTTCTCGTCCCAACTTCTGAGTTCTGATTTATTCTGTTCTGATATATAGTCTGTTCCTGCAAGTCTCTTCTCGATACAGCAATCTGAGCAAATGGCTGGCAGTCTGCCAGAGAAGCAGTTTTCAAAAGGAAGAGGACGTTATTTCGCGTATACTTTTACCCGGCAAATGAATGGCTTTAGTTGGAGTCATAGTAGTCTTTCCGATTGGGAAGAGTGCCTTTACGAACTCTCTGAACGGCTTCATCCTGAGGAAGAATACAATAGGGTTGATGGCGGCATTAAGGGCTACCATGTCAATGTACGTTAAGTTCCATATATACCAGCCCATAAAGGACTTTTCTATGGAGTAAATCCTGTTGTATTTCGTCCAGTCTGAATCGTCAGTGATTATGACATGGGAGTAGAAACAGTAGTTCAGAAAAACAGGCATGTTACAGATCAGATATACGCTGGTCACAATGATTATGGTTATTGTTGCCTGGGTTTGTGCAACCCGTGAGAAGCTCTGGTTGCTGGTAGTGGTCGCAGACTCACGAAGCTTGACTATGGATAGGATGAAGCTAAGAGAGATTGGGAGTATGGGGAGTCCAAGAACAATTCCAGCATGATAGGCATTAACATACCACAGCTTGGTACTGTTTGGCGTAAAAAAACAATACCCAGTGGTGCTAGTGTAAGTTATCTTATTGGGTATTTCGGAAGGGTAATCGTCTGCCGCTATCAATGCGGCCCTTACAATCACATGATATAACAGGTACGCGCACAAAACTGTTCGCAGAACTTTCAGGTTAAGGGACTGCATGGGTCGAACTAGGATAAGCATCCTCGAGAAGCTGAGGAGTCCCACAAGAAAGACAGAGATACAGGGAACTATCTCCCAGAGCAACCCCCAGATTAGGCAGAACTCCTCGCACCCGAACAGATATCCGTCCCTCCGTCCGTTAAAGTAATTCTCGAACATGGGAAAGAGGGTGACGGTCAGTATCAGGTCCACACTCGTCATGCTAATGTAAATTTCCGTGAAGAAGAGTTTTTTGGTGTTCCGTGCGTTGTTGAGGTGCTCCTGCACAAAGTAAATGGTTGCCAGGAGGTTGCCTGGAACTCCGACCAAGAAGCACAGTAGTATCAGCGTACCCAGGGCAGCTTCAGCAACTGGCTGGATTGCTTGATCACTCATTGCTACTGGGGTTAAACGGGGAATTAATTTTAATGTTCTTATCTGTTTTACCAGAATCGTGTAATACAAATAAATCAAGGTAATAAACAAAACTGAGCAATTTAGAATCCAACGGATTTCGAAACTAAAGAGCGTTAGCGTAACCGTCGGTTTTTAAGTTAGTTGATTAAATGTTTTGGGAAATAGCAAGATAACTTCAAATTACGAGGCATTTAATGTGAACTATTAAAACGATCATGATCAATACGACGATTATTATTTTTAAAATAAATTTGTCGCCAAATGGAGCAATCTAATACTGAGACGATTGCAACTGGGAAACAAGTTTTGAGGATCACAGCGCCAGACTAAAACTTATAGCATATAATAGCATAACCGTCACCCAGCCAATGAGAGGGCGGTATTGGGAGGGGGGGGTGGCTGGTTTAGATATCTGTAAACCACTTAACTAGGCACTTAACGGGGGTTATTACGGTTGCAACCGCGCCTGTAACCACTCACGTTGAATATTAAAGTTCCTAAACCACTACCGACATCTGTAGGTGGGCTAATGTCGCATGAGCTCATGAGAGAACTAGAACTGTAAAAATAAGGTGAGACGTATCGATAATAACGTCTTTCCTGGGCAAGGTACTTCGTCATCGCACTACGCTACAAGATTGAACAAATTAACTTACTAACTAAGAAGGCTTCACCAGCCCTGCAATTGTCGTCAGCGGTCAGGTTGATCAGAAATATAGCGATTTAAGCTGAAATAACCGTCTACTCAACGGATCTCAGACACTCCTAAAAAGATGATCTGGTGGAACCACCTCTCTCCAACCAGCACACATTTTCTCTGGGATCTAGTTCCCGGGATATATTCAGTTTACATATACAGATATACGTATGTGGAGAGGATAAATAAAATAAATAAATCTTCTTGGTGATGAGTAAAACGCGTAATATTTGATTGTCTGATTAATTGCTTTTATATTTTGATTGTTTATTAATAGTAGTAAATGTAATTTGATTATTTTGTGCTAGTTTGAGTAGCCCGAGGGGAGCCCAACCTACGCATCTTACTCGTCACTAAGGACTAAGGAGATTAATTTATTTTATTTATCCTCCTTTCATTGATAGCAATAAATATCTATTGATAATCTATTGTATTGATAATCTATCGATAATCTATTGATAATTTATTGATATTCTATCGATAATTTATTGATAGTATAGTATTGCAAAAGACCCATGCAGTGAAGTATGAACGATAGGAATAACCAAGATAGCATGTGCAAAAGGGCACCACTAGCATCCAGAGCCATCGCTACAACTTGTAACGTCAAAAAGGACAATACGAGGTAATACGATCAATTAACCCCCCGAACAGGTATCCGTCCCTCCGTGCCATGGTAAATTTGGGACCATGTTCCTGATATAAGGTTACACTAGCCGGGGAGTTGTTCCACGATTCGATCAGTACTAACATACTAGCTGACCACTAAATTACGGGTATCTGAATGCTTCAGATACCCAGCTAATGCTACAGCTAATGCTACAGCTAATGCTACAGCTAATGCTACAGCTAATGCTACAGCTAATGCTACAGCTAATGCTACAGCTAATGCTACAGCTAATGCTACAGCTAATGCTACAGCTAATGCTACAGCTAATGCTACAGCTAATGCTACAGCTAATGCTACAGCTAATGCTACAGCTAATGCTACAGCTAATGCTCCAGCTAAGTCCGGGCACTATAACGTCCCTGCCCCGCACTTTATGGCACTTAGTACTCTGATACTCTCACTAGTTTAGTCTGTATCTAGGATACTGTCACTAGGATACAGTCACTAGTTTAGTCTGTATCTAGGATACAGTCACTAGGATACAGTCACTAGTTTAGTCTGTATCTAGGATACAGTCACTAGGATACAGTCACTAGGTTAGTCGGTAAAACGGACTAGTCAATGGCTTCATTCGGTATTGCTCTAAGCTCGCGTACAGCCCGGAATATCGACCTATCACCACTCCACTAATCACCTTGTAAAAATGTAAATGTGCAGAAATAAAATGGCCGTCTGGAAGCCCATAGAATTCCAGTTCAGAAACCGAGTAAGGAGGTGCGGCTACTGATGAGAAGCCTCCTTAAAGTTTATTTGGGTTAGAAACGACATCTGGGTCCCTACCCTCGCACAAGATTATTCTCAATTTTCTTGTTGTGTTCCACAACAATATGTGAAGCCAATTTTAAATAGTTCCACTAAAGTGAAGTTACTTAATTTACTTAAGTTCTTATACTTATAATATTATAAGCTAATTGTTCTGG